GCATGATCCTGCTTCAGGTCACAGGTCTACTTTTTCTCGTTCACTTCCTCTGCTTGCTGGTACAGTTGACCCTTGAACAATGCAGGGGTTAGGGGCCCTGACCCCCTGTGTAGTTGAAAATCAGTATATGGCTTTTGGTTCCCCAAAACTTCACTAGTAGCCTATAGTTACCCATCAGTTAATCCATGTAACATACAAAATATGTGTTATGTAATGTCTTCTTAAGAGAAAAATAAGCCAGAGAAAAGGAAATTTTATTAGGAAAATCATAAGGAAGAGAAAATATACATTTACAGTACTGTCTTCTATTTATCAATCCTGTAAGTGTATGTCATCTGTTTACAGGATGAATCATCTGTCAGCACCTAAAGTATTGTCTTACATTTAACATCTACAGTGGCCTGTATCATGTATTATGAACACGAGACGTAAAATAATGAAAAGATACTGTGAAAAAGAAATTCACATGTATTTACAGGTGTAACGACTCATGCATTGATAAAAAGTAGCAGCAGTACAGTTGCTTCCCGGGAGCCTGTTGTAAGTGATATGATTGTTTCGTGGCAGCCTAGCCTGTCCACTAAGGAATGAATCATAAATATTTTTTGGCATATAGTATTACAATCATATTCATAACATAGTATTGGAAACAGTGTTATGTCTTTTAGAAAACCACTTGCCTGTGACTATAGGCTGATATGCAGTTTCTCCAACTGAGACGTATGCTGTGTGGTAATGTAATTTTTTGAAAGCAAAGTTATAAAATAATAAAATGAAAACATTTTATGTTAGATAGCACTCACCTTGTGTCTATGTAAGGTTAGACTCATATGTACATTTATTTTAGGTGTTCATGACATACTTTTTCTCAAGTTTTTTGGTATTTCTAGGCTATGTGGGTCTTCTGAGAGTCTTTAAATTATAGCAGGTCTCTGGGGGAGGGTATAGCTCAAGTGGTAGAGAGCGTGCTTAGCATGCATGAGGTCCTGGGTTCAATCCCTAGTACCTCCCTTATCTAAGAATGAATAAATAAATAAATGTAATTAACTCCCCCAATCAAAAAAAATTGGCTTTGAGACT